TTTTAGTTCTTCTGTTGCATGCTGCACTTGCATTTTATTTGCCACATCATTACAGTTCTCCACTTTCCCTGAACATCTCAGTTTGGGGAGGTTCTTACGTGTACTCTGCATCGTTACAAAAAGCAGAAACTGGTGTCCAAGAGCTTATTATCTGAATATGCTGGGGACTGAAAACTATTAATTCGCTTCACACAGTAGTGGAGTTGGTCTCCTTTGATGATACACAGCTGCATATGTTTAGGTCCAAATTTTCAAAACAAAATAGGCACACAATTTGAGCTTTCTCAACTGAGACATCTTTAGAGAGTTTCGTCATTTATGGGGCAAATACTGTGCATTTTCTGAAAATCTATTAAAAGGGCATAACTTAGGCCCTTAGGACCTGAGAGGTGCCCCAGCACACAAGTCACTTGGAAAGTGTGGAGCCGAGATTCTCAAGCTGCGCTGGTTATCATTACTCTGTTGTAGCCACTGAGCTCGTGCTGATTTCCACCAGCTGCAGATCCCAGTTCTAAGGATAGTACAAAAGAGAATCTCCTCTAAAGAACATTTATTTTAGAGATTTTTCATCTTCCTTTCTGTGGAATTTCCTCTGAATTGATAACAATGAGAAATCGGCAATGAACTTCCTAACAGCATTCAGCTAGTAGCAGAGAGCTCCTTTCTATTTCACAGGCTATAACAGGAACATTTGAAAAAGGTATTTAGTTGGTCTCATAACATTTTTGTCTCTCCAACTTCCATATTAAAGCTGATAAATTTTAAACTGTAAATACTTTACCCACCACCACCACAAAGCCCCCAAGCAAACCCTAGCAGCCCTGAAATGCCAGCCAGAATTCCAATATCCAAATCTTTCTTCCTTTACTTCTACAACTTTCTTCCTTTACTTCTATGCAGTCAAGAACAATGTAGAAAACACAACTGGAATTTCTTCGGAATTCTTTCGTTTTGTGAGCTGGAAAAGGATTTATTTTACTCTTCAGTCCTTGTGTTGATAAACATTAAAAGCTCAGTCCCAGACGTATGATCTAAAAATTAATGTTCTTTTACACCGTGCTGGTCTCAGATATCTCTGCTGCCTGGTACATAGGCAGAATAGTCAATCCATAGATGAATGAGGAATAATCCATGTGAATGCACATATAAACCAAAAATGCCTCACTGTGTAAATATAGAGAGCACAGGCAAGGTATAAGGTTAGAAACTGGGAACCTTCTAAACTGAGATCACAAGCCTTAATCACCTGAACACAAGGAATTACTCTATTAACTGTAAGCTGCGGGCTCTTGGGCTCATCATCAGCCAGGGACTAGACTGGGGCATGATCGCAGCGCTCTGCCAGAGTATTACATGTTCCCTAAGGCAAAGTTTATCCCAGCTGGCTGACAGGAGTTCAAGTCTCACGAGGAATGCCAATGTTTAATAAGTCTGTTGACACATACTTATAAAGCTGCCAAAAGTTGCCAGTGGGGATAAAGTCCCAGCTTTAAATATTGAAAGCACAAGCCCATGCTACTTAAGCTAATGGGGTTTCTTACCGCCACAGAAGATGCTTGTATATAAATGCCCTCTGGCTACCAGTTCATTATGAGGCCACAGTTAAGTAGGATAAAGATTCAAAAATAAACTTCATTTTTGCAAGCATTAATATATATTTGTTTGGCAGGAAAAGAAGGGAGTATGAGAATTTGGCCCTCGCTGTTGTAAAATACTACTATATTAATTGCATTCAGCAAGTAATTCAAGAACATGGAGCTCAGGTTCTCCTGTATTCATGCTTTAATGCTGCAGCGTAGCTAGAACTTTCAAGAACACGTATGTAATTATGTAGCGCCATTAATTTGCGTGGTTCTTTCCAAATGAAAATGAAATCAATGGCTCCTGGTCCAAAGAACTTACTAACTGAATCCAGCAGAGACTATGAAAAGGAATGACACCAGGACCCAGGAAGAAAGAAAAAACTATCTTCAGGAAAGGATTATTTGCAAAATAGTCAGAGCAATGGAGCTGTTTCTTAACTTTTTTCTCTTTTAAATGAAAAAGGCCTGGAGGAGTTACCAGCTCTCGAGCTGCACTTTTTGCTAGAGGAGAAAAACTTGAAGGAAAGATTTGAATAGAGAAAGTTCTCAGCACTTACGAAGAAACTTTCATCAGTCACAGTCCCCACTGTAGGAGGACCTGAGCAAAAAGAAAAAAGTCAGCTAATTAGATGATCAAATGCAAAGATTATGTGTAAGGATAAAATAAAAAGTATTTTGAGATCAGAGTACATCATTAATAGCAAGTATCAGGGTTTGAAATAGATGCTGGTTGTCAAAGATGTTACTCCAGAAGATGTCTAAAGATGTGCTCTGGAAGCAGTGGAAGAACAAAGTTGTACCAACTGCATTTTGGATATGCTGAAGCAATTAGCAGGGATATCAAAAGAAAGGAGATCAGAGAAAGAATATTTAGGCAGGGGAAAATGAAAGCACAAACTCAAGTTTAGCAGTGTGGACACAGCATGCAAAAAAAAAAAAGGTTGTGGGATTTGTAAGAGGAGAGAGAAACAGTGCAAAGAAGTAGAGCTGACACAAACAATAACCTGTCACCTGTATGGTTACAAGCTGGATGGATCTAGAAACTAGTTTTAGTCTAACACAAATCATTTGTGATCATTGTGATCCTCTGCTTCTGTGTGCAGGGTACCTAATTCATGTCAGAATGCTTTACTACAGTAAATCAGAAGCGAGAATTACAAACGTAAGTCTTACTTACGACTTCATCTTAAACAAATTAATGGCTTTATTGGATGAAAATTTCACAAATGTTTGTATTTGCCAAATTTTGTTCCAGCTGAAGTCAAGAGTAAAACTCATTTTCCTTCCCAGGAAGGAGCAAAGGCAGACCAATACTGAATGCTTCAGATACTCCCACCACAATGTTTTTGCATACAAATTCTATCTAAATACAGCTATGAAAATTCAGGATGCTATGTGTATTGTCTCAGTACTTCATTAGTAATCACGTCCCAAAATGAGTTATGCAAGCTACTGTTTATGGGTGTCCCTAAAATGTTTAAATGATGGTATAGTTATTATTTATGTGTTATATAACGCAAAGAGAAAAACTTTTAAAGAACTTTTTCAGAATTTATGAACACATTACTGGAAGTAAACCAGTCTGACTTGGCTTTTGTGACCCTGGCTCAGCAGGATCCCAAGGAACGATGCAGTGTTTGTTCGTATGAGTGTATAGACCTAAATGTCTGCTAAACTCCTCGATACACAGTAAGGAAAAAAAAAACAGGAAGAGAAGGAGACAAACTTGAATGATGTACATTTTGCCTCAATTCTGTTTGTTAAGTATTTTGAAATAGATTATTTTATGCTGGAACTAGACTAGGTAATCTAGATGATCCTCATTTCACAGACGTGTGGGTTGGCTAGCTCAAAGTCCTTTCTTAATTTGGCAGCTGAAGTTTAAAATAAGGGGATGGAATCTGTTACCACAGGTCAGACTGTTATGTCCCTATATCCAGAATTAATTTGTTCTAAAATGACCAGCATGAGGCATTTCAGCAGAAAGCCCTGTTCTGTTCCCTGTGAGATGTCTAGGAAATGATGAAATTCTGTACCGAGGTAAAGGTGGGAAGCAGAAGGTCTGTCCTGGCCTGTATCTCCTGGCCAGTCTCAAAACATCAACTGCAGAGTGAGAATAACAAGCCAGTCTCAGCTGGTGTAAATTAACCCAGCTTCATTACCTTCCCATGGACTATGCCAGTTCACATTTGTTGAAGCATGATTTCCTTAATGTTGATTCATGTTTTCTCTTTTATCTTCATTTTAGCTTCATACAATATCAGCGTGTTTGGCTTTGTTTTCTTTGATGAGCAAATGTGGGTAGCACATAATAAGAAATTACTGATGTATTTATTATTAATAGAGCCATAAAGTCCCTTTGAACATCTGAAAAAAGATGGCTTGTAGGTGTTGGACTTGGGTAACACATTTTGAAAAGAGCAAGAACCATTTGTTTCTAGAGGTACCTGACAAACTAAAGCTTCCATTTTTGTTTCCCTTTTACTCAGTGAATTTTTCTTCCTTTTAATTCCCCTCCTCTGACACTGCAGTCTTTTCTTTTTTCCACTTAGAAATATGAAGAAATGGGCAGGTCAAAGTTGAGATCGTTTGTGGGGCTTAGTCACATTGTAAGTCCCAGCATAGCCCTTTCATCTCTCATGAACACAGACCGGGTATTGTGTGAAGTTCTTGAACTGTAAGTGACTTTAAATTCACTCTAGTGACAAGGGTGAGAAGAAGTCATTTAACTTTTAATAGACTTTCAGGGACAAATGAGCAGCTGGTTGAGATGGAATATGAGATGACCCTTACCATTTCCTCAAACTCAGAATTCAATCTTTGAGGGTTTTTTTTGTAGTTAACTTTTTTCCTCCCCCAGTTTCCATTCCTCTCTGTTTTCTCAGTTTATATGGAAAGGGGGGGTGTGAAAAAAAGACTTAAGAAAGGCTTTTCTGGCTCTTGCTGCACTGAAAATCGTGAAAGAAGGTTGGCCCTTCAGATATTTCCTGCCAGATTTCCAGAATGGAAGCAATTGTTTCTGCGTTATATGGCTGATACCACATGGAGTACGAAAAGGCTTGTGCAAGTAAGTGTGTAGCTCCACTGAAATTGGTGAGACCACACCAAGGCAGTGCAGCTGAGGATCTGGCCCAAGTTGCTTGGTCCTGTATGTACTTTACATCTGGCATCTTATGCACTACAGTTCTCCCTGTTTTTGCATGCCTGGCTTGAAGAACTGGGTTTGAGGGGGTTTTGACTGCAACTTTCAGCCAAGCCAAATTTTTCAGTGGTCCAGGATGATGATCTGCCTTTGTCTGAATTTCTGAGGTGAAGAATGAACACTTATATAAATTACAGTTTCTAGCTCCCCAGATTGCAAAACACAAAGTAATTCATTTTCAGGATATATATGCATCTCTCTCTTGTTTCTCTTAGTGTCAGACTTGAAAAGACAGATACTATCCGTTGCATTAAGTCTTGCCGACCAAATGATGTCAACTGTGTGTTGGATCCAGTCCACACAATTTCCCACACTGTCATTTCACTGCCCATGTTCAGAGAATTTACAAGACCTGAAGGTAAGTGGTTTGTTCCTTGTTCCATTTAATAGACTACAACATATAAAACCTCCACCGGAAATCCTTGCCTAAAGCCAGACTAGCTACCGGTGTAGTAAAATGTTTGCACGGTTCCAAATTATAGTGTACTATTCATTTAATTAAAACCTTCGATATCCAGGAGTTTTAATTTTATGGGGCAAAGAAAGTCATTCTGAGCTCTAACTCATACAGCTTCCCAGTCTAAGGAAATACTGAGTCTGAATTCCCATTTACCACATAATTCACATTTACTCACATAATAGCCATGTACCCCATGACTTTTTTGTTCCCTTTTTTACAGATTTTGCCATAGGAAGTAGGTACTCATTTTATTGCTCTCATCTGTTTATGGTCTGTTGTTCACTATTGACAGGTGGCTTGTTCCAAGAATATAGCCTTTATCTACATGCAAACATTACTCACAAAATCCATTCTATTGAATATACTATCTAGTACTGTGATTTGGTGATTTCTGACCTACGAAAAAAAGGTGTTGTTTTTTTAAACAAAGAATAAAGGAAGGGAAATTCCAAGGACTGGACAAAAAGTCTTTAAGCTAGTCTTCTCAAAAAGCATCCAAGCGAGTGGCTGTCCAGTCATCCAAAGTGAGTTCTCCAGCCCCAGATGCTGCACTCTCTAGGGCACTTGTGTATTTCTTTAGTTCCTTTGGCCTCTGCAGTACCTGCAGTTCCATAAGGATTGCACTCACTTTGCTTAATTCACATATAAACCTAGAGAACAAGAGCTAATTTTTTGCTCTTTGGCATTTGTATTCATTTTCTGGCAGCTTCGTGGGGGATTGCGTACACATCCCCAGGTGGGATGACTGCCCTCAGCCCTGCTTCTCTGTAGGATGAGCCACTCGGCAACTTACTGTGTGGCCCAGACATGGAGAAGAAGGGGACGGAGGAAACAAGACTATTTTGGAGGGGTATTTAAAGATCTGAAATCCCTACTTCTGATGCACCCAGAGGCTCAGCTGTGCTATCTTGGAAATTCGTCCTGAATGAAAGACAAAGCTAATTCTTCACTCCTGTACCAGGAAGAAGGAGTAGGGCAAGAGAGGTCCAAATCATTCATTTAAGAACAATTTAGCCACTAATAACTTGGCTGCATAGAGCTGCTGCAGATTGTGTCGGGCCTGTTTCAGGCCTTGGCTGGCCCTACTTCACAGGGAATGGAGGAATGCCCCATAGCCACTTCTACTCCCGTACACACCCCTTCAGCCTCACCAGGTGTACTGGCAGTAGAGCTAAGGATTTGGCCCAGGATGCTTCCCAAACTGTTCCCTCATTAGTCCATCCTCATGACTTAATGAAAAGAGATGAGACCTAGTGATCTGAGAGTACTACCAAAGCCTAGAAGACGTTCCTAAACTGTAATTCAGCGCATGGCCTTGGGTGAATTCTTACAGCCCCATGGTTTAGTTTCATCCTCTGTAGAGTGAGGATAATAATGAGAATAATAATGCTTACCTCCCTCTCAAGAGGCTTGAGAAATAGTTTCACCTTTTTTTTTTTTTTTAAAACCTAAAACCTTCCTCCAGTACTCAAAAGGACTCTGTAATTTGTAATGGCAATACTTGACGTAACTGCCTAAGGGAATCAAAGTGCAGGGTTTATCTGTTTGGTCCCCCTCCACCACGCACCCTGGGGATCCTCAGCGTTGTCCTCTTTGGGTAAATGCTAGAAGTCCGACTGGATTCTAAGAGTGGTCTTTCTGGACTCTCCAAGTAATAGTGTTTTGGCTTCAGGGCTTCTTGGATGGCGCAGGAGGAGAAAATAAATCTATCCAAATTCTCCCTTCCCCCAGATGTTCTTTCCTTCCGTTTTAAAGGACAAACTGGGGGTGGGGGATGTCTTCCACCAGCTCTGAGGACAAGTAATTTTGGATCAAATTCTGTCGGGTTCTTCAGTGATGTTTTCAAATACCTCTCAGTACATTCTGTGATACTCTTTTATTTGCAGAGATTATTTTTCTTCGTGCCATCACACCTACATATCCAGCCAACCAGGCAGATATCATATTTGACATAACAGAAGGAAATTTAAGAGATTCCTTTGATATCATCAAGCGTTACATGGACGGTATGACAGTGGGTGAGTAGAGTGTTTTCTGCTTACTTTCTTCTCTCAATAGTACTGTAAAACAAGGTCGAAGAAATTAAGTAATTAATTCCCACCTTGATTTTCAAGCCTGTATTGATTTAATATTCTCCAGTCTAATATGTGTATTTTGAACTAATATCACAGATTTTGTTTTTAATTCAAAATACCAGAGGCCTAAACTTTAATTTGAGAAGTACTTTAACTTCTTTTCAGAACTGGCTCTAATTACAAATGCAAATGGCTTAGCTTTAAAACTATGAGGTTTGCCCATTATAATCAACCCAAATATAAAATACATAGTATGTCTGCAAAGAGACTAAATTTAATTAACTGTTCTTTCTTGTTTAAACAGCATTGCACCAATTTTTGGATAATAATCAAATCTTTAAAGCAGGACTGAGTTTACTGAAACTGTTGCCTGTTTTATTTTTTTAATGACAGGCTGGTTAAGTTTTAAATAAATACTCCTGTTGAATGTAAAAAGGATCTGTCAAATGCTGTGGTTTAGAAGAAATTTCAGAATGGAACATAGACATTTGATTTACAGTCTTGATTTGGCAGGGAGGAGACATGGCAGGAGATATACCTGTGTATATGGGTCATGCACGAAACCTGCCTCTCATCCTATAGCAGGGAGGGGCTGCAACACAACCTGGGGTCGTACTTTCTGGTAGATTTCTTTCAGAGCAGGGCCCTTTGGGGGGATATAATGCATGCTAGACCCAGTGTGTAATGTGTATAGTGTATCTGGGATATATACATACATGCATACAGATAGGTATTTACAGTGTATACTGTAGCTTGGCAAATGGGGTGAAAGTTGCAGAGCAGGAGCGGGTCCCAGCTGATGTTCTGCTTTGCCCAATGTGAGTTGGTGGTGCAGTGGTGGGGGAATATGCTGTGATTCTCATGCTTAGAGGATGAATATGCCAGGTATTAAAAAGTAGTCTTTGATTGCTCTTTATTAATGTCTATTTATGAAAATAAAGGACCACTGTTCCCAGTGAACATTTGTGCTTCAGTAGGTGAATGTGCAGGTTCTGCTCAGGTTTGTATCTGTGCTTCTGGGCTTTCTAGCAGGACTTGTCTGGATGAAAAGAAAAATCGCTGCTGTGCTTCTTCCACACTGATGGTTTGTGAAAAAGTCATATTTAGCATGATCTGAAGGTGGCACTGTTGCATTTCAGAAGCATGTTAGTACAGCATCAGCTGTGCAAAGGTTTTGTGAACTGCAGATAAAAATCATAAGTCATTAGGTTTATATTTCTTTCTTTATCAAACAGAAGTATACATGTGAATGCTGAGAAAGAGAAGAGCCTGTTAAAGCAGGATGATAAGATTACAGATTTCAGGTATAGGGTTGATTCTTTGGAAGAGTATAAATGTTATCAGATCCCACTGTAGTTACAGTAGTTTGCTTTTCATGCTGTGTTCTTCTTTCTGTCTGAAATAAGAAAGAAGGATGTGTTTATAAATTTGACTGGCCAAGGTATTTGCCTGAGGGAAGTGTTTCCATTTTGAATAATAGGACTGCGTGTCAATGGTATTTTACTTGGTAAACTTATATATGCCTCACAACGTTAGGAGAGAAAGGATATTCTTATACACCAGGTTGAGAGGATACGATATATGATTAAGTACATTCCCAGCTCTGCAGAAGAATTGGGCAACTCTTTCTTCACCTCAGTTCCCCCATGTGCAACATGGAGATGATAAAACTTGTCTACTACTGTCTTAATTAATTCTTGTATGTAAGAGTCTTAATTAATTCCTCTATGTAAAAGTACTTTGAGATTAATGGATGGAAGCTGCAAAGTAAAATGCCTTCAGCAGAATTGGAAAAGGAAAAACAAAACCCCAGCTGATATTACCTGGAGGGGCAGAGGTTCAGGGCAGCATGTTGTATGTATGAAATTAGGATTGCAAATAATTCTGCCAGCAGCAGTTCTGCTGCTCTCTTCATAATATCATTTTGCTTGTTATTAATAATCAGAATGTTAGGTGTTCCCATAAAAGCGCTGGGAAGTTTTCAAGACAAATAAATAAGACAGGATCCTAGTACGCAGGAGTTCACAAAGTGAGTCCCTCTTGTAAAGAAAGTGGAAGGGTTTGTGTAAGGGTGGAAAAAGACAAAGGGCATAGACGATATCAGAAAGATTTATTGGTTATCAGAAAGAGTTATTGGTTATGTCATTAAGTTATAGGAACATAAGAACTGTGTGGTTGTAACATAGAAACTCTAGCAGAGCAAATGCCCAACCAGCCCAGTAACCAGTGTCCAACATATGGGCCCGTAACAGACAGGTTTACAGGAATCTTTCTCCAAATAGAAAGTTCCAGCTTGCTGCAATCATCAGTTCATACGCTTCTAGAAAAGCACACCTGGACCGTCATGCGTGATGACCACTGATGGACATATGCCTCTTGAATCTGTGTAGCCTATTTTTTAATCTTTTTTTGCTGCCTATATTGTAGAGGAGAGAATGCATTTACTCTGATAATAAACCATAGATAGATGGGTAAAAGGAATAATAAGCATGTTTCATTCTGTTGTAATATTTCAGGAGAAATGACCAGAGTATCAAAGCTGTTTTATCTGCTAATGTAAATTAGGTCACCAAATATCCTTTCTCTACAAGACAGATTTTCTCTACAAGAGAAAAGGTAGAAAACCTCTGTGGGAGTTTGGGGTTTTTTTAAAGAAAAGACACAGACTAGCTCAGAGAGAGATGAAATGCATAAGAGCATTTGGAAAAAAGCAGTAAAATGGTTACTAGTGTTACTGACAGAGCTGAGTGTAATAAACCTTGACTTGATGTCAGAGAAGAGGAAACAAATGAAGGGATTTAAAGAAAGGAGGGAGCACTGGGAAAAGAAGGGGAGAAAGGACAGATCAATGAAGATGCTCTTGCAGAAAGTCCTTCATTAGTAAAACAGTTTTTTTGCTAGGTTGTCACAAACAAGAAGAGAGGTGATGCCTTAAGAAGGACCTGCATCTAAACTGTGTTTGTGTGAATGGGAAGGAACAAGATGCTCACAAAAGTGTAAAACTAAAAAAAGTGAAAAGGTGTAGGTTGCTTTTGGTAAAGGTTTATAGAGTGGGAGGAGCTATTAGAGATGGAGTTACTGAAGAAAAGTGAGTGCTTAAACACTGACAGAGAATTGTGGACTGAAGAGAGTCAGGTCATCAGTTTTAGCCATTATCCCTTTAAACTGACACTGAGACATCAAGGAGGAGATGTTAGTGGAGCTGAGAAATACGTAGGACAAGATGGAGAATGGCTGATCAGGCTGGTTTGTGATTTGTTGATGGAGAGAGAGCAGCTGAGGTCATGGGAGGAGATGTGAGTGTGTAGGAGCAGGTTGTGAGGAAGGAAAAAGAAGGTACTAGAAACAGAGGAAAGAGCTGCCCCAGGGAGTATTAGAAAAAGAAAGAACACGGTCTCCTGAAGGAGATGTAGGAGGAGCAGCCACAAAGGTAGGAGAAGAAAGAGGCAAGAACAGTATTGCAAAATCAAGGAAAGAAAATATATTGAATGGGAATCGATGATCAGCAGTATCAGACATGGAGGAGCCAAAAGCCAGACTCCCAAACTTGCTATGCTGACCTACAGAAAGTGTCTTCCAGTGGAAGGGAAGGAACGAAAGCCCAGTGTGTAGACTTCATGCAAGCTGAAGAAAACGAATTGTGTAAAAAGTTGCTTCCAATATTCCTACCCCATCGTATTAAAAAGAGATGCAAAATGCCATTCTTTCCTGGTTCAAGAAGTGCTTTAGGACCCTCGATGTCGCCTGGTGTGGTTACAGGCCAAGGTGGCACTGAAGCCAAAAGATGCTGTTAACAACTGCACATCACTTATTAGCATGGGCAGGAGAAAAACAGAAGTGCAGACCTATTCAGGTTTTTTTTTTTAAAAGCTTTTATAGACTTTTCACTGCATTCCTCCTCTAACCAGCTGTCAGTGAAAAATGAAGAATGCATTTTCAGCCTGTACAAAAATGTCCTATCAATGCCTAAGGTATTATCAGGTACTATAAAACATTTTCCCCCTCAGCAATGCATTCATTTCCTTAGGTGACTGTAATACCACCTTGTAGTCTGTTAAACTTCAGGAAAATGTTAACATTTCATAATACAGCTAAAAGTAGTTTTGATAGGCTGAAATCTTCCATATCACATTTGATACTAACCGAAGCATATATTCTTGCCTACTATTAAGCAGAATGGTATTATTTTTATCAAAAGCATCCAGAGCCAATACAATTATAAAATTTCACTTATACCTATAGAGCTTCTCAGGGGTGTTGTGCTGGTGCTTGAGCACACTGATATGAATGGCTGCTTATAATTTTACAGACACATACTACTTCTCTCCATTGTTATTTGCAAGGATTACACTGCTAATCTCTGTCCTGAATTTCCAGCCTCTCTTGCATGTGTGGTAGTTCACGATGTTACCTTTGAACCGTTACAGAAAGTGTCTCAACTACTGATAGCACAACACTGGATTTATTAGTAGTCTTAATTTCTACTATGGTGTCATGATTGTTTAGTGTGTTCCAGAGGCTGGGGAGAGACTTTTAAAAAATGATCAGAAGGTAAACCAAACCAGATATCATTAAAAAGTGTGCTTGTGGGATCCCATATTGGCTGGGGGCAGGAGAAGGAGACTGGAGTTTTATTTGACTTTTTGGGAAACCTGTCCTTAGCACAGGGGTAGTAGTTTTGTATCTCACAAGCAGTTTGGCCATTCCCAGTGTGGCAAAGTCTTTCCGCAGTCCACCATGCAAATGTTTATATGGTATGACATTAAATTCAGAGTCACTGGATTGCAAAAGATTTGGTTCTGAACTTTGTCCCTGGACCCACTCTGCAGTGCCGGGCAAGTACCTTCACATTCCCCTCTGCTTCTGCCTTATCCTCTGTTGCTCTAGACTCTTTATCTTTGGGCCAAAGGCTGGCTGGCTCTTACCGTGCATTTGTTACAGTG